CCTAATTTCTAAAATAAATAACTTGCAATATCCATATTAAAAACATCCAATATTATTACGAAAAATAATCAAAATTACTTCTCGATTTAAATCTCCTACTATATATATATATATATATATATATATATATATATATATATATATATATATATAATGCATCATTGTACATTTTATACATTTACATATGACATAAAAATAAAGCATATAGTGTCTTCAAACTCCTACTTAATCGATATCATATTTGGTTTTTTAAAAACAATGAAGAAAAAAACACAAAATTAGAATTTAATGTTAAAAACTTTTAGTGACGATATTCTGGGCTTTTGTGGCGACTGTTGTTGCCGCTAAAGGTCTAGTTCTTTTGTAGTGAATCCTAGTTGGCAACGCTTAGGTGGAAGGATTAGTCCCACGTGGCTTGCCACGTCAACAAAAATTTGGAGTGTTAACTCTTGAGGGTATTTGTGGTCTCTTAGGATAACAGCAGGGGCATTTTTTATCCCAAAATGTAACGAAGGGTATAAATGGTCTATTTCATATAATTTGGGGGCAATTTTGACCCTTTTCTGAAAAAATAATCTCCATCCTTAGTGAAATTTTCATCTAGCTTTACTAGCTTCAATTTCTTTTTCTTTTTTTAATTTTATTTAAACATTATGAGATCAATTAATTTGTAAATCCTGAAAGTGCAATTGCAAACAAATTTCAAAAAACTAAATCTGTGAAGAAACATTCAAACTCAAATCAGTCCTAAACTAACACTACATACACATGAATAATAGATAGCACAAGAAGAAAATAACAACAAAGCACTATAAAGATGATTTTTCAAAAAATCACTACTATATAAAAAGAATATTTTTTAAACCAAAATTTGCATTCAATCAAGAAGCAATTAACATGTGAGCCTTCACTTCTTCCTTTTGACTCCATAATTCAAGAAATTATCACAACAAAACAAATTTACTGTGACTATTGAAATGCTTTAGGGTTTTGATCATCAAAGAGAGAGTAGAATGAAAATTTGAATGGGGTTTAGGGTTAAATGGAGCGGGTCATGATTAAAATGTGAATGAGTCAAGATTTTATCCAATTTTTAATAAATGGGTTGAAAAAAATATGTAATAATATTATTAATTGGGGTGAGACTCGCGCTCAGGCATTGAGAATGCAGATTGTGTAAAAAGTGTGTATTTATTGTGATTTTAAAATGTTTTGTGAGGTAATAGGACCCGCAAAGTTAAGGTGTTTTTTAAAAAATCTGAGACAACTTCATGTCTTTTCTCTAACTCTACTATATATACATATGATATTCATTTCACGCCAAACAAGCATCAAAGCAAGCAAATGAAATTTAATCACCGTCATCACAACGACATCACCGCTACAGTATTCATCTTCATCGAAAAAACCACCCTCAATTAACAAATTAACTGATAAAATCACATCTAAAATTTTCAAAAATGGACAAAGAATGAAATACGGAGAAGACGGGAATAGTGTGTGTTTTGAATATTTAGGAAAGATAGAGGAAAAAGAGAGATAAGAATATATTAGTGAAGTAAAATTGACAAATTTTGGCCCATTTTAATATGGGAAAATTATATAAAATAGGAAACTATTAATTCAAATTAAATGTTATAACCACAGTTTGATTTAATTGTAATTCGTAGCAAACTGTTGTCAGTCGCCTCTCTCCCTGAATTTCTCGCTCGCCACTCTCGTTTTCTCGTTGACAGTCTCTCCCTTGCCTCTCTCACTTTGTACAAACACAAATGTATAAAATGCGTTTGTGTTTGTATAAAGCGAGAGAAAACTGTATATATACATATATTTCTGTTCGCCTCTCTTCCCAGAGAATCTCGCTCGCCACTCTCCCAGATCTCGCTCCCCTCTCTCACTTTATACAAACACAAATGTATAAATTGCGTTTGTGTTTGTATAAAGCGAGAGAAAATTGTATATACAAATACAAATACATATATTTTCGTCCTATACACTTATAATTATACAAATACAGATTTTCCCCTGCCCAATTTTCTTTTGTCTTTCTTTCTTTCTCGCTTTATACAAACACATATTATACAATTGATTCTTTTGTATATGTATACCGAAACAGATTATACAATTGATTCTTTTGTATATGTATACTGAAACAAATTATACAATTGATTCTTTTGTATATATTTACCGAAATATACATATTAATAGCCATAGCAAACATAAAGTTTGTTATGGAGGGCAATTATACAAACTATAATTATAGCATACAAATATGATTTTTATGTTTGCTAAACCTAAAATTTACTCTAATAATAATATACTTGGGTCAATTATACTTTTATGTAATTATTGGAACAAAGAAGATTGTGTCTTATTTTCTCAATCGGCCCATTGAAGATCCAAAACAGGAATCTCGCTTTAAAAATTGCATCCAACTAAAATTCACAAATATGGTCCTTTTTCTCCCCTTCTTATTGGAAAATAGCACGATCCTGAAGTTTCAGTTTCTTCAAGTGAAACTTCAAAACATTATCATAAAGTTCACTAAAATTAAAACTTTATTACTCTGATGGTATCTGAAAATAGGAAAAAAAAAGTGTCTATTGGTGAATTTTTCCCAACTCTTTAAGGAGACAACATATCAAGATCACATAATTTTTTTTTAATCATTGATTTCATCTAAATTTTTATCAGTTTAATCAGGATTAAATTTTGAAGAAAAATGTCTCTAAGCAATGCAACAATGACGTAGAGAAGCGTGTTCAATGGGGAGATTGGTGACAATTGATTTTCACAATAAGATTTGAGCAATTGTACCATATATAAGCATATTAAATTAAAATTTAAAATAAAGAAAGTTAAATTCCCAACTTGATTTTGCTTGTTAATACATAGAAGTAAAAAAGTTGATAAAATTGAATGTCAAAAGGGTTTCTTTTTCTTGATATCAATTGAGTTGGGTTTTTAGGTGTTTTTCCCTTCCTATGTGAAATAAAAAAAGTTCAAGGTTTTGGGTCTTTCTTCCTTTTCTTTGAGGATAAATTTAGCCCAAATTTGATTAGTCCACTTTTGCTCATAAGCCCAATATATGGTGCATATGTAAAACTTTCTGTTAGGTCTTATTTGAGACATATCACAAGAGATTGAGAGCAGTCATATAGAGAGAAAAGTGAGAAAGTGCAGATTTTCGCACAAGCCCTATCAACCCATTTCAAATTGCGATTCCCTCTTCGTTTCTTGTCTGATTGAGCTGATTTTTGGACATCATGTTCCTTTCAACTTAATCTTTGATTGAAAACTGAGAGAGGGTGATTTGTAGTCCTGTAGCTCCAGATTTTAGCTCGTGAACAGTAGCTGTGGATTCGATGCTTTTGCTTCTTTTATTTCTCTAGTTTTTTGGTGCTATCTTGTAGTTGTGTAGCTCATTGTTTGATACTTTGTTGGTGGCCATTTTGGAGAATACTTTTGTAACTCTTGTTGATTATAGTGGAGCTTTGGCCTTGTGGTTTTTACTCTTCACACCGAAAAGGTTTTCCACGTTAAACTTGGTGTTTTATGTGTTGATTTATTTTCTTGTTTGGCTGATTTGTTTGCTGCCCAAACAGTTTTATTCTTGTATTATTTTGTCTTCTCTTGGTTCAAATAGAAGGGAAAGTTTTGATTTGGGTTTTCTTTCGCTATCTCCCTGTCGTGCACATTTATTTTTTGCTTGCCTTTCCCAACAAATTGGTGGAGAAAAAAAAACAAGGCTAACTATTGAGTAACTAAATGTATAGCTTTTATTTGTTTTTTCATCCTATGTTCGTAAATTTTTGTCAAGCCAGAATATTAATATACTATTTCCGTCCAGATTGTCACAGTTTTTGTTAAAGCCAAATTATAAAAACTTTGAATAATATTTTACGATGTATTTTTTTATCATATTGATATGCAAAAAATTATAATTTATAGTACTTTTCGCATAATTTTTGAATATCCAATTTTTTTAGTTTAAAATATCAAATTAATATAATCTAATTCAATTTTAAAAATTAATTAAATTAACTTTCGGAAAACTCTATACGATAAAAAGTGAACGGAGGGAGTAAGCGCAATTGGCACAATTTGCTACTTTGATTACAACGACAACTAGCATGCCTAAGCAATGACCTTTTTTTCTTTATCCTTCTAGAAAAGTTGGGGTTATAATAGTCTATATTTTTGTGCAAAGAAAAAGATATTTTTATTTGACTATTAAGTGCTTTTGTTATTTATTTGTAAAAAATTAATTAATATGAATTTAAATACCGTGTTCACACCGCGGTGAAGCAAGGAATATGCTTGTCCTCTTTCTTATTTGTTCTTCACAGTTATCGCCGGTCTCCCGTATTTATTTCCCAAGATACTACACCACCAGTCATCTCATTTTAATTTTTTTCATATTAGTTAGTTAAGTTATTTTTATTAAATAAAAATAATTCAATATTTTTAATCTTAAAATGTGATACTAGTAACTATTTTTGGGACAATTTTTAAAACTAAAACAATTAAAATGAGACCAAGGTAAAAGTTAACATTTATTGGTTTTTTGATAACTCAAATTCATTATATTAAGATTTGAAGTAAATGATACATATCATTCGAACAACTTACTCTTATCTGAAAACTTTATCTTTGAGTTTTTATTCGATGTTAGAAATTCACTAAATTTGGATCGCGTGTCGCTGAACCTATTTAGGAGCGATGCTCCCAATAGCATTGTTTTGTGCTTTTGTTTTTCCTTTTTTCTGTTTCCTCCCGGTCCTGTCCCCACACGTCTTTCATTCAAACACATCATCTACCACTTCAATGACTCCACGTGTCCTACTTTCCTCGGTTGCCTAACCCCCGGTTTCTTTCAACTCTTCTCGGCTAAGGAAAGCCCCCTGTCTTGCCTAATCCGCTAATTACTCATTTTTCTTCTTTTTGTTTCGACATGGACTAATATGCCCTTCCTGAACTCTCTCATTTTAAACGGACCAAGCACCAACATCTAGAAAAAGCCCAAGGTCATAATGGAACTTAAAACAACCAAAACCAGTTAAATACTCACTCCACTACCACTTTTATAGGCCATCACAAAACAGCCATTGTTACACTTCTCAGGGAAAAAAAAATGGGATCGCGATTCGAGGTGGAGGTGAAGATCTCATCAGCTAAGGATTTGAAGAACGTTAATTGGCGTTATGGCCGTCTTAAGCCATATGCTGTTGTTTGGGTTGACCCGAAAGGGAAATGCTCCACCAAAGTCGATGATAATGGCGATACTTCTCCTTCTTGGAATGAGAAGCTTGTGATTCCTTTGTATGCTCCGATCGAAGAGTCTACTTTGTATATCGATGTTGTTCACGCTAATGCAACCGAGGGAACAAAGCCTTTGATTGGTTCAGCTAAGCTTCCGCTCCGTGAGGTTGTTGATAGCGTTGGAATCGGTAATTTGACGGAGAGGTCGCTTGATTTGAAGCGTCCTTCTGGTCGCCCACATGGAAAGGTGAAAATTGAGGTTACTGTTCGTGATCCGCGCTATCGTGCGCCGGATCCGTATTATGCGCCTCCTTACGGTGTACCTCCACCAGCTGGATCAAGGGATTACCCTGCTCCGCCGCAACCTTACGGCGGATCATACGGTGCTCCTGCCCCTGCCCCTGGTGCTGCTCCTTCCCCTTACGGTGCTCCTGCTCCCTATGCTGCTCCGCCGGCGGGTTATCCGTACAACGCCGCTCCGGCTCCAGGTCCAGCTCCGGGTTATGGTGGAGCACCTGCTCCCGCGCCGGGTTATGGTCAACAACCAAGTTACGGTGCTCCTCCTGCACCGTACGGGCAGCAGGGTAGTTACGGACAACAGCCTGGTTACCCGCAGCAAGGAAGTTACGGATCGCAGGGTAGTTACGGGCAGCAGGGAAGCTACGGGGCACAGCCTCAGGGTAGTTACGGATCGCAGAAAGCAGGGTATGGTTACGAGGAGAAGAAGAAGAGCAAATTCGGAGGAATGGGGCTGGGAGCGGGACTGGCTATGGGTGCGGTTGCAGGAGCATTGGGTGGATTAGCCATATCTGAAGGTATTGATCACATAGAAGATAACATAGCCGAGAAGGCGGCGGAGAAGGTTGAGGATGATCTCGACGATGGTGGTTATGACGACGATGATTACTAGATAACTTGCATTTTCATTTTCTATATAATCCTCGCGTTTTTTTACGCCATGGTACAAATTATCTTGAAAGATAAAAAAAAAAATGAAAAAGAAGAAGGTATTTCAGTGTCAAAGCAAAAACTTGTAAACTTTATGCTTTTAGTTTTAACTGTTGTTCGATGCAACATGTAATGGATGCACGTTTTTGCTAAAATTTCAATGTCTTGTGTCCAAAATTTCACTCTATAGCATTTTTTGTTGACATTTTAATATGTAGTAGACAATCAAATGGAGTGAACTTTAAAAAGCTTGAGAAAAGTAAATAAAAAGAAGTAACTTAACAGTTTATGACGAAATCAATTGCCTTTGTAACCGTTGGATTAAAGAACTCAATTTGATCACGCGATGATGCGCCTCGTTGAGGTGCATTTAGTGAACCATAACGCTAACACAAGACTCCTCCGTTCAACCATGAAAATTGTGGATGTTTGAAAAAAGTTTTTGTTTGCAAGGCGAATTTTAAGTTTTTATTGTAGTTTATAGTATCTTTTGTATTGTATTTGTAAATCAAAATTTTAAATTTTAAATATTGAGTTAATCTAATCAAATTGAATTATTAGTTTCATTTCCGCACAATTGATAACCTTAAAACACTCATTTACTTGACTAATTGAACTTAAATGCACTCCTCCCACATCTTGCAACATGAGTGAAATACACTTCTAAATTCTCACTAAGTTTAGGAGTCATGTATTCAACACTTTTCTTGGCTTTTTATTAAGAGTTTGATGCTCTTAATTTGAGACCACTTGCAATGTCATGTCGCATATCGAGAGTTTACCTAAGTTTCGTTACTCAAATAGATGGGTTCTTTTAAAGCTGCCAATAATTCGGGGACGAAACTAATAGTTTGCGTCAAGTTTAGGGGTACATTTTTCTTCTAGCTAGCAACAACAACAACAACAACACATTGTAATTCTACAAGTTATAAGAGATGTCATCTCCGATAGATCATTTTCTCTTTACTTTTTTGCTGAACTTCTTTATTACTTATGTGATGATAAACTTATTTAGTATTAAAATCGAGTTGCCAATAAGCATCGAAAGTCTGCCGTATGTTCTACTATCCCTCCCATGTCTCAACCGATACTTTTTTTTGTTGAAAAATCTTTCTTTTGGCTTTTAAAATAATTTTGATATGTGATAGTTACTCATGTGCATTGGTGCCAAGTCTTGCTAATTACTTCTTAAGAATACGTCACTATATATGGAATCATTGTCCCACTTAATTAAAATATATACTTAATAATGTTGTTAACATGGCTCCAATTATATATTGGAATATCATTGTCGTCCCACTTCATAATAATCTTCAAACATGATGAGTATATATTATTATTGTGGTTGATATTGAAGCTAGTTGCCTTGTAAGATTAATCAGAGTAAATGTAGGGAAGTTTGTGGGCAATGGTTAATCCCTTGCAGTGTAAGTCCCCTAATAACATCTTAGACGTACAGATAAATATTCTCTTGTCTTCAAAGCTAAAAATAAACAATAAAAAAAGCATATAGTATATGACTTAGCATTTATTATAAGAGGTGCTTTAAACGTGTACTCTGCTCTCTCCTTCACCTTTTGGAATCATCTCTCTTTTATTTAAAGTGCTGTTTCCTCTCTCATATTTGAATAGTTACTTGTAAAATCACCTTTTTTGAGTTGTCTATCTGCAGGACTAAGAAGAAGAATGAAGATAAAATTTCGTCCAGTATTGAGAAAATATATTGCATGGAATGGTAAGTTATGTAGCATGCATGTATCTATTTTGTCCATATCTAAAAGTGAAGGGCATAAATGCATGTCGGCTGAGACTAAGTTAAAGAACATGTTTATATATTACGTCTTTATATCTATCTTATTTAATAGCCCTAACAAAATGTTGGATAAATTTGACGGTAAAGAGTCAAATGTACCTATATACTATTAGAAAAAGTTTAAATATACTCTCATTATAATTTAGGTCCAAATATACCCAGCTATACAAGAGAAGCACGTTTTTTTGGCATGTTACAAGTTGGGCCAAAAGTGTCAAAATAATATAGTAGCCAACAAGTCATACGATTATATTCACTTTCTGGTCCCCTTGGGACTATATAATATGTCCAAAAGCACGTGGTTTGTGTTATATAGTACAAATATACAATCATCAATATGGATTTGGATTGGCTTGTTGGGATTTTTCTCAGTTCTTTAACTCATTATTAGTTATTTCATCCTCAAATTATTTTGAATTTGATTATTATCCGCAGTAGAGTCCGACTAAATTTTAATCTGCGTTGGAAAGTTTCACAATGGAATTTGGGAGTATTGGGGTAAATCGCTCGTTAACAAAGACGACTCATGTTCACCTTGTCAAAAGAAAATTTATAAACAACCAAAATATTAGATTACGCTTATTAATCCTTCGAATCCCACCATCGTTTGTTAGATATTTTCCGTATATTAATTGGGTATACTTTTGTCCAAAGCTTTTTTCGAGCAACAAAAATGGCTAATATTTGATAGAACTTATACTTTTGGGCTTTGTTGGAATGTTGTATGCTTTAACTCAAAAATCTATTTTTTTTTTGTTTACTTGCAGAGGCCCAAGACCCGAAACAGGCCCACATGGAAATGGACCTCCGAGAGGAATATGCCCATGCTTTTCGAACCGAATCCTATGCTGATTTCTGGACACGTGTCCTTGCTTTATCCGAAAAGATTTCTTCTCCGACCAAAATTGTGGGCTCCACTTCAGCTGCTCGGCTTCCCTCTTACCGGCTTTTCGTGGAGCATCTTTTGGATCCGGATCAACCCACTGTGACTCGAATTCTCAGTTTGATCCAAACCCATCAAGACACCCACTCTCTATTATCTGAATACTTCTCACAAACTGCTGAAGCTTCTCTACTTTGTAGTCTATTATTAAAAGACGTGCAACGTACACGCTCTAGATATAAATCACTTAAATCCGCCTTAGACTCCCTCCAAAAAACACCGTACTCACCTAAAAAACACATGCCCAAAATCCTGACCCGATTAACTAAATTCTGTAACTCACTTAACCCGCTTGTTTCATCAACATCTTCTCCGCTCCGATTTAAAACCGTTCAAGCTAACTGCTCGCAATTGCTAAAAAGGATCGAGCTTAAGCGCGATAAGACCAAAGCGAAACTCCGATTAATAAATAAATTCAAACGTGGCTCAGCCATATTTGTCATGGCTCTAACAATCTCGCTTACCGTTATTGTAGCGACTCATGCACTAGCCTTGCTAGTTGCGGCTCCAACGGTAATGATGGCTTCATTCCAGCTGATGTCGACTAAGAAGCTGGCTAGCTGGTCGGCTCAGCTGGACGTAGCCGCGAAAGGTACGTACATATTAATTAGAGACTTGGACACTATAAGTCGACTAGTGGGTCGGCTAAATGATGAGTTGGAAGACTTACAAGCCATAGTTCGGTTTTGGCTCGAGAGAGGTGGAGACCCGCTTCAGCTTGAGGTACAAGCCAGCGGAGAAGTGGCGCGCCAGCTGAAAAAGAATTATGCAAACTTTGTGGAGCAATTGGATGAATTAGAAGAACATTTGTACTTGTGTTTCATGACAATTAATAGGGCTCGAAATCTTGTTATTACTGAAATTATGAATTCGCGCCCATATTTGTTAACCCAAATTAAAGAATAGTGATGGGAATTCGTATCTCACATGACCTTCTATGTGTATTATGTTATGTATCGCATGTGTCTCTACTTGTTTAACTTTGTGCAAATTTAACTGTCTATTTGTGTAAGATAAATGACATAGATGATAGATAAAGTCAAGTTAAAAAATATGTTTATGCATTTATATTTTATTATATAATTTCATGCAGTTTTCATTTAAGAAACGGTAGACATTGAAATTTTGTGGCTAGATGTGTTCAGTTTGAGTTGGGACTCTACGAAGTGTGTTCAATTCTAATTAGGATTCTTGGAGGCTACTCAACTTTAAACTCTAGTTCATGCCTATATAAAGGATACTATATTCCCTTTAAGTGGCATGTCAAATATTCCGCAAATTCATGAAATATTTATAAAGAGATCAAATTCAAATCATCTTGATTCGAGAAATATGCCATTAACGGCGCTCGAATTATGAAGATCAAGTCCGAATCATCTTAATTCGAGAAATACGCCACTAAGGACAAATCATCTAAATTCGAGAAATACGCCACTAACGGACCTCAAATTATGAAGATCGAGTCCATATCATCTTTGTTTCATAAATATGTCACTAACAACCCTTGAATTATAGAAATCATGTCCAAATCATTCAAGTTCGGAAAATACATCACTAACGGCCCTTGGATCATGGATGAATCTCATGAGAGAAGAATCAAGAAAGAAAAGAACAGAATTGTGCCCGCAATATTTATCAATAAAATCATGTGTCTTCATATTTTATTTATGATTGCAATTTAGTCACTTTAAAATTTGTTGCAAAAACAGAATAACAAATTGTTGCTTGAATATTTCTTTTTTAATTCAAAGAATATTAAAAACAAAAAAAGCTTTCTCTTTAAGGAAAGAAAACAAAAAAACTTATTATATATTTCTTTATTTAATGATGTGAGCTTTTATGGGCAAGAAAATGGTGGATGTGGAAATTTATGATCACACCAAACGTAGCATATATTAACATAGTGAAAAAAAACTTTCACATAATTAGGTTTGTCAGAATTTAGTTGGGGGTTGCTATGTGATTAATGTGTGTTTGATCACTTTATTCTTTCACATTATAATTGAATAGCCGACATTTTTATTATTGAATAAATTAGTGATTTATTCAATTTCAAATTCAATTATTGAAAAATAATTGTTACATACTCCCTCGGATCCATCTTAGTTATCGTAGTTATTTTTTATTAGGCATAATACATAAATATGTTTTCTAATTTGGTTTCGGTTGACATTTTTGCTCTTCAACTTTAGATGTACACAAGTAAACACTCAAACTTGTATAAAATTGAACAAGTAGACAACATAATACACGTCGGTAGTGGCGGAGCCAGAATTTCGCCTAAGGGATATCAAAATATAAAGAATAAAATCGTGTAGAAGTCAAGAAGTGTCAATGTGTAATATATATACATAACAAAAATATTTCTATTTTGGCTACACAATGTAATTTTTCGATGAAGGGGTGTCGGTCGACACCCCTTAACTACATGTGGTTGAGCGCGCCACTGCACGTCGGAGCCACTTGGGATGCAAATTTGCCATGTAGGACGCCATGTAGGATGAATATGTCTATTTGTTCAATTTTATACAAGTTCGAGTGTCTACTTATCCACACAAACTTAAAGGTTGTTGTCAGCTAAAGTCAAGTTAAAGATCATGTTTATGTATCGTGCCTTTTAATTATAGTATCTATTAAAAATAGCTAATTTAAAATAATTGTCATTTCATAAATTCAAGATATAATTATTTTTTTATTTTTATCTTTACTCTACTTATAGAATTTATTGTTACTATTGTTCCACCTTTATCTTTTACTTAAAATAAATATGGAGAGACTACTATAATAAAAAAACATAATAATACTTATTAATTAAAATCAAAGAGTAAATAAAGATACTTAAATTAATTAAAAAAATTTCATTCATTTTGTAGGAGTGTAAAAGAAAAAAACATACAAGTAAAATAAATATGACCTTCGAAAAAGTAAGATAACCTGTATCCTGATTGTCTTTTGTCTTGTTGACTAATTTACATACTTAATTAATCGCAAAGGTGTAAAAAAAACATGGAAAATCGATCGAACCGATCAAATCTAACCAAATTGATTTATGTTATTAATTTAATCAAATTTGTTGATTTTTATTTAAGTGTATAATCGTCTTGAAAAATTAGGATGATCTTTTTAATTTATGAAAAAAATTGAATTTTTTTTAAACCAAACCAAATAACTTTACATGTAAATATATGTTATATATTAACAATATTTTAAATTTAATATATAAATATGTTTTATAATAATTTTTAAATATAAAAATAATCTTGGTCCTAGGCATCTAGTGACTAGACAATTTTGGGTCTTTGTTCTTTAATTAACCTTTCCTTAATTAAGTTTAAAATTAAAATTAAAATTAAAAGATACTGTAATAGATACTCTATCAAACAATACAACAAAATCTATGTAAACACTCCAATTAAATGTTTACGATCTAACAATACGGTAACAAGATTTTACATTCTTGTCTTCTTGATGAAGAATTAAAGTGTTGCTTCAAGAACATATTTGCGAAAGAAATATTTTAATAGTAGTATATTTTGAGGTGATATTTTAAAAGTAAAAAAAAAATAAAAAATTAATTGAATCGTACCGATACCGAAGAGAAACCGATTATGATATGATTAGGATGGTTTTAAAAAATTTAATTTTGGTTATATATTATAAAATACCCGAAAAATTAGAATGGTATAATTTTTAAGAAATAACCGACCGAACCGTACCATTAACGCCCCTACTTAATCGTATGGTTTTTATCAAAGATGACTCAGTTTTATTTATTTACCCAATGAATTATATTTTCAGTTAAATCTAAAGACACCGTAAAAGGCAATTTGGTTTTTATACTAAATTGCTAATTATGTGGGAATTTATTATAACTAGGAAAGTATTGTTCTTGGAGTCTTTATGGTGAAACCAAATCAAACTCTATCTGTTTGGTGGGTTCGATTTTGCTAAAAAAGAAAACTAGTTATCTTTTTATGCTATTTCATTTTTATTTGTTGGAGTTAGGGATGTACATGACCGGGTTGGTTCGAGTTTTTCAAATATTAAATCAAACCATTTGTGTCGGATATTTAAATCTATAAACCAAACCAAACCAATAAAACTCGGGTTTTTCAACCTCGGGTTTTTTCGGATTTTTTCGGGTTTTTCCGGTAAAGTACTCATACAAACATATAATTTACTTGTACTTCAAATATTTCTTTAGTCCTATCAAAATACAACTATCTAAGGTGTTTCTTAAGAAACTAACACAAAATATGATATGAGTAATGACACTAAAATATCCAACAAAAAATAATAATAATGAAATCGCGTAAAACAATTATTGCAAATTAACAAGTCATATTGAAAATGATCATAATTTAAAAGTACTAAATCATGCTAAAATAAGTTTAATAAGTATTAGTTACATGACTAAATATTAAAGGAAATTAAAATTAGATTATGTATTTGAATTGTCTAAACCAATGTAAAACCAACGAACAAATATTCAATATTAGTGTCATTCTTAGTGTTGAATTGATTTTCTTTTTGCATTAGTATTAATTTGATTTTGATTTAAGCTTTATTATAATTACCAACATCTGTGGACTATAATCTTTATTGAACCATTCAGAATTTTAAGTTTCAAACTTGAAATAATATATTAAAAGATAAAAAACTATGAAAAACATAAGAAATATTTAAAAATTATATCAAAGTAAATATTTTTATGTATAAAATAAAATTTTAAAATTATATATATAATGTCGGATTGGTTTGGTCTCGGGTTGGTTTTATTTAGTTAAAATCAAACCAACCTAAATATAGTCGAAATTTTTTTTTCAATACCAAACCAAGTCAAACCAATCACTAGTCGGTTTTGTACACCCCAAGTTGGAGTTATGAATAAAGTTTTAATGAAACATATAATTTATTGAACACATAATAATTATTTGATTAGTTTAACAATAATCTTTTAATGATGTATGTATTCAGACTTGATCAAATTTTAATAATGAAAAAGAGTTAAAATTGTTTCTGAACAATGTGAAATCGATTACTATTATCCTCTATTATATTTTAAGATAAAGAATGTCCCACCGTTATCATAAAAGACCATTAATACCCTCAAGAGTTAACAACTCAATTTTTACGTGACAAATCAAGTGAAACTAATCTCTCCACTTAAGCATTGCCAACTAAAATTTACTTATAAAAAATTAGACATTTAGCGGCGACAAAAGTCACCACAAAATTTCAAAATATTATCACTAAAGGTTTTCATTTTTAGTAGTATTAGATTATAAGAAAGTCAACATCCGTCCGTGATTTTATTTTTAAAATATTTTTAAAAATAATTTCTACACATTTTTATGCAAAAATTCCCATTTTCTTTACAAAGAATCATTGACAATCCAATAGAATCCGTCAGGTTTCAATATTTTTTAAATAGTATTATTAGCGAGAGTTTTTTTTTATACCTAAGTTGAATTATATTATTATTTTTTACCCGTATTGAAGCTGAGTTAAAAATTAGAAAACAAACATTTAAGTTAAATCCAAACAATGACCTGAATGAAATAAATAAAATACACAATGTTATTTAATTGTATGTTTCATAATTTTTTTTATGTTTATCAACACATGCTGAATAGTTTATACTAAATAAAAAAAATTTATTTTAATGATATCATTATAAAGTTAAACTGAAATAAGATTGAGATGGAGGGTCCAAATAAAAACTAAGATTAATTTAAGTTAAAAATAGTTGTCCATATATTTTTCTAGTTTTAGATTTAACTTTCCAATTTGACGTGACTACACCTACCCACCATTCACGGTATGTTTTATAATATTACACCACCTTTCTAGTTGATATATACTACTCCCTCCGTCCCATTTTATGTGGCAATATTTGATCGGGT